AAGTTCTGTATGCCTTTTTCACTCTAGCTACATGGGGCAAAAAAGTATTTAGTCAGCCACCAATTGTGCAAGTTCTCCCAAAAGATGAGAGAGGCCTGTAATTGGCATCATAGGTAGACTATGAGAGACAAAATGAGAAAACAAATCCAGATAATCACATTGGCTGATTTGGAAAGAATTTATTTGCAAATTATGGTGGAAAATAAGTATTTGGTCACCTACAAACAAGCAAGATTTCTGGCTCTCACAGACCTGTACCTTCTTCTTTAAGAGGCTCCTCTGTCCTGCACTTATTACCTGTATCAATGGCACCTATATGAACTTGTTATCAGTATAAAAGACACCTGTCCACAACCTCAAACAGTCACACTCCAAACTCCACTATGGTGAAGACCAAAGAGCTGTCGAAGGACACCAGAAACAAAATTGTAGACCTGCACCAGGCTGGGAAGACTGAATCTGCAATAGGCAAGCAGCTTGGTGTGAACAAATCAACTGTGGGAGCAATAATTAGAAAATGGAAGACATACAAGACCACTGATAATCTCCCTCGATCTGGGGCTCCACGCAAGAGCTCACCCCGTGGGGTCAAAATGATCACAAGAACGGTCAGCAAAAATCCCAGGACCACACGGGTTGACCTAGTGAATGACCTGCAGAGAGCTGGGACCAATGTAACAAAGGCTACCATCAGTAACACACTACGCCGCCAGGGACTCAGATCCTGCAGTGCCAGACGTATCCCCCTGCTTAAGCCAGTACATGTCTGGGCCCGTCTGAAGTTTGCTAGAGAGCATTTGGATGATCCAGAAGAGGATTGGGAGAATGTCATATGGTCAGATGAAACCAAAATAGAACTGTTTGGTAGAAACACAACTCGTCGTGTTTGGAGGAGAGAGAATGCTGAGTTGCATCCAAAGAACACCATACCTACTGTGAAGCATGGGGGTTGCAACATCATGCTTTGGGGCTGTTTCTCCGCAAAGGGACCAGGACGACTGATCCATGTACAGGGCAGAATGAATGGGGCCATGTATCGTGAGATTTTGAGTGCAAACCTCCTTCCATCAGCAAGGGCATTGAAGATGAAACGTGGCTGGGTCTTCCAACATGACAATGATCCCAAACATACCGCCCGGACAATGAAGGAGTGGCTTTGTAAGAAGCATTTCAAGGTCCTGGAGTGGCCTAGCCAGTCTCCAGATCTCAACCCCATAGAAAACCTTTGGAGGGAGTTGAAAGTCCGTGTTGCCCAGCTACAGCCCCAAAACATCACTGCTCTAGAGGAGATCTGCATGGAGGAATGGGCCAACATACCAGCAACAGTGTGTGCCAACCTTGTGAAGACTTACAGGAAACGTTTGACCTCTGTCATTGCCAACAAAGGATATATAACAAAGTAATGAGATGAACTTTTGATATTGACCAAATACTTATTTTCCACCATAATTTGCAAATAAATTCTTTGCAAATCAGCCAATGTGATTGTCTGGATTTGTTTTCTCATTTTGTCTCTCATAGTTGAGGTCTACCTATGATGCCAATTACAGGCCTCTCTCATCTTTTTAAGTGGGAGAACTTGCACAATTGGTGGCTGACTAAATACTTTTTTGCCCCACTGTACATGCACTGTGCTGGATCAAGAGTTGACAACCTTGAACCTGACAACCTGGAAGTACTAGGATGGACTGGTAGACACAGCTGAAATAAGGGCAAGGAAACAAGGCAAGAGTCATTAGGATGGACCTGGCAGTGGATTTGGTATTGTTTGTATTTTTGTTTGACTACAGAATGTTATAGAGGGACAATATCAACTTAAACATAAGAAGAGACAGAACTAAATGATGGCAAGGAACTAAATGACAAAAAGATACATTGTTTTGATGTGTTTGGACAGATAAGGGATGTGGTGTTAAAAAGTTGCTTTTGTGGGAAAAATATATACGAATTAAACTTGTGACTGCTGTTTGCAAGCTTCATTCATACATAAACCCCAGCCAGCATTTATAATACACAGAGTGGAACCTGGTTGTAAAACTGACAGCAAAGTAACAAATTACTCAGGGAGAATGGTCTCAGGTTTGCCCCTTCGACTGGACCAGCAGCTTGATCTTTGATGTAGACCTAACATCTAGCACCTCAGAAGATCACAGTATAGAAAGTTCTAACTCAGAGTAGCGTCATGGTACCTCTAGGTCAGTAGCCATGTATCCACAAGTGTGGAACTCTCTTTATAAAAGGAAAAACACCCTTTTCAAAGAGATATCAGTTAAAACAAATACTGTATCCTAAAATGTCCTTGCCATGGTTATGGCTAGTTTTTCTGATGAACATATCTAGTTTTAATTAGAGTTTTGACAAAAACAAGAACACTTTAAAGTTGGCATGCATGCAAGACAATTACCCATTTTATGGTGCTTACCCCTTGACTTCAAATTGTTTTGGCTGCAATGTTTACTAGTGCTTGCCAAGAATAACATAAGTGATTTATAAATATAACTGAAAAAATACCCAATATGCAAACTGCTGTACCTTGAATCTTTGTCATCCTGTGCCAGGCCCATATAGCAGTTCTACAAACCATCACATAGTTATAGAAAAACTGAAATAATAAAAATTATGCAGTTATAAAGAAAAAACACATAATCACAACCTATCATTCCTACCAAAAAAAAAAGGCGAAAACATATATACATATTTTATGATGTATTGGATGTATATTTGCTTTTACGATGCAGCAGATGTATGTCGCTGTACCGACTGTAATGAAAAAAGTGGATATACAGAAATGCTCTCACCCACACACCTCTTCAAAGGGTCAAACACATTGCAAAGGAATGCAAACAATTTTGCTCACACATGGTTTTCGTAGTTGCTGCCGTTCAACTTTTCTGGAATTGATTTTTAAAGTGGAAAGGTGTCATATTAACATGGCACAGAAATTCCCAATAAACGCACTTCAGTCACTGAGGTTCACAGAGGTCAGTAATATTTATCTTACCCGTCCTTTAATTCTTAGCATACTTCTGTTTACCACAACTTCCTAACATTTCTTTGAGACTTGACTAATGGAAATGAGCACAGCCTTTGGGTGAACCAGCAATTATTTTGCAACTGCTCAAAGCATTAGTGACAAGTACAGGTGTAATGTTTGCTGTATAGTTAATCAGCAGCAGCATCATTGTCTGTGCAAATTATGTCAGCGTGCAACCAACTTTACCTTTGCTATAATGCAATTAAGGTTTCTGTATCTAGTGCATCATAAAAGCTTTCTGAAAAGCTAGCACTTTCTGCATGGTTTCATGTGCATTTTGTCAGCCCTTATTTTCTTTGTTCTAAGATACGGTAAAATGTATTGCTCACTTACGGCATAAGCTAAAATTTGTCTTAAAGACAAAGCTATTTCTTCTCAACATCCCATAGATATGTAGGCATGAACAGAATTAAAAAAAAAAAAAAAATATGAACCTATTAATAACTCAACTGTTCATTATGTCTGATTTCTATAATTTTTCTATATTTTCTGGCAAAAAAAGGAAAAGCAAAATTGTTATAAAAAAGGTAATAACTACTATTTAATGCCTCTTGCGCACAGATGCCTAAAAATGCCACTTTAGGCATTTAGGCAAATTGTTTTTAATAGGCCTGTACACATAGATGCATAAATGTGAACTGCATATAGATTAATAATAAAAAAAAAAATACAAAAATCTGTGTTGCTGGACATTTTAGGCATGTATGCAAGTATACAAGCAAATACCTGCATATACACGTGTGCGCCTGTTTGATGTAACAGAACGAAAGCTAAAATAATTTTTATGTATGCACATTTATTATACAGCCCATTCTTGCATTTTTAACTACTTGCCTACTGAGCACTTTTACCCCCTTCTTGCCCAGGCCAATTTTCAGCTTTCAGTGCTGTCACACTTTGAATGACAATTCAACACTGTACCCAAAATTTGTTTTATAATTTTTTGAGACAGATAGAGCTTTCTTTTTGCTAAACAAACTAAAAATACCTACAAAAATTGGTGCAGCACTGAAGGAATTAATACATAAAAGTGCACTAATAAAAAAATTATATGAAGTTATTAGACACAAGTAATAACATGAGAGTGACTTGCTACAATGAGTGCAAATAAATAAGTGCGGCTGTGAAAGTCAAAAAACAAAGAAAGTGTTCATATGATGGTGAGGGCCTGACAAACAACGGGCAGAACATTGTGCCGCATACAGATCCTGTTGCACAGGTGGTATCAAAGAATTCCATTTGACTTCAATCCATGTAACTTAAATCTGTGCAGGGAATTTGATAAAAATGCGCACTCACGAGATGCGCATAGTAAACGCGCAATGTGTTGAATCATAAAATGGCCAAAGATCTGTAGGAAGCCCCCTTTAGGTGGACCAGACAGACAGCATAGGAAGAGAGTCCCTCCCCTGGATCAGAGACTGCTCTGCAACTGTTCTCTGGCTACAGTCCTGGAAATCGTTCAGCTTGTCTCTCTGGCAAAACGTGACCTGTGTGTGTGTGTGTGTATCTATGTGCCTGGGGTCCCGGCTCTCCCTCTCCCCATCAATAAAGGGAAGTCTGTGTATGGTGGAGCAGTCTACATTCTGTTATAAAATTTTGTAAATAAGTAATAACTTCACATCATTTCTTTATTAGTGCACTTTTATATATTAATTCCTTCAGCGCTGCACCAATTTTTGTGTATGTTTTATATAAAGTTTTGGGTTCCTTTTTAGTGCATTTTCTGCTGACCTCATCACATACCTGAACATTTTGAAAAACAAAAGTTTTTTCTTAGTTTCTGTTATAAATGTTGTAGATAAGTAATTTTTCTCCTTCACTGATGTGCGCTAATGAGGCTGCAGTGATGGGCACTGATAGGCCAAACTGATGAGGAGGCACTGATAAGTGGCATTGACAGGCATCACTGGTGGGTATTGACAGGTATCACTGATGGGCACTGAAAGGCAGCACTTATATATGGCACTGATAGGCAGCATAGGCGGCACTGATGGGAACTGTGAGGTGGCACAGATAGGCGGCGCTGACTGGCACTGACAGGCAGCACTGATTGACACTGATAGTTGGCACTGAAAGGCAGCTCTGATAGGCATTGATATGTGGCATTGATATGTGGTATTGATGTGCACTGATCTGTGGCATTGATGGGCACTAACAGGTGGCAATTATGGGCACTGACAGGTGGCACTGATGGGTCTACACTGATAATCAGGGCACTGATGATCAGTGCCCTGATGATGAGTGTACATGCCCCCTCTGAGAAATGCCGCTTACCATCTCTCCTCTCCTCATGCGCTGTCAGCATGAGGAGAGGACTTCCGATAACCAGCATTTCAGCGCTGAGTGAACTATTGGCGCTTTATAAATACTGTATAATAATATAATAATAATTTCCTATTTACATGCAATCAGCTGTGATTGGACACAGCTGATCACTTGATAGAGCCTCCCAGGGACACAGCGCATCACCAAATGATGTCCTCACCACCAAGAGTGGGCGGACATCATATGATGCCCTCCCAGAACAAGAGAACAGCCGCCCGTTCGTCATTTCCTTATATGGAGGGCGGGAGGTGGTTAAGCAGAATTTTCTGCTAGGAGCCTCATGTTTATACATTAGTCCCATGTGCAAGTACCCTTAAAAGATAAACATACAATACCTTCCCCACCATTTTTGGTTAAAGCATTGTGAAAAGCAAGGTTGACCTAATATCTGGGCCCTCCCCATATTACATGAGTGTAAAAGTGAAAAAATCCTATAGGCTAAAAAGTTAGTCAGTACTGTATACTTTGTTTACCTATGGCTACATACTACAATCCTTCCAACAAGATCCTGGTGAATGCTGAGCTCTCACAAGATGGTGCTTCAGCACAGGATGGTCTTCTTGCAAGATTTGGGCTACTTAGCACTCATTGGTATCTCGCTGAAAGGAGCATGGCATCACCCTCACCTAGTTATGGCATGGGCAGAAGGCAGGGTTAGGTAAAGTATTTTTAATTACCTATTTCTCCAAGGATTGTACAATATAATTCAATGCAAGAGGGTTAGGATAATGTGTTTTGGAAAATAGCTGTGGTTTAAGAGATGTTAATGTGGGAAAAGTGTATGTATAGATAAACCTTTTTTGGGCTTTGGATAGAGTAGCAAGGTATTAAAACTCCTGCCATTTAATTGTTTGCTGTCTGTGTAGCATTGGAGACATTTCCATGCACTTGCTTTTTTAGCGACACAATACGTTAAAGGTAATCTCCCAAGGTAGGGGAGATTTCCCTCTTAGACAGTTGTCATTGGAACAGGCATCTCCATTGGAAGATTTCCCCTTACTCTTTGTAATGGTGACAACATTTTGCATTTCCTATTGTCTTTATTAAAGACAGTGGTCTAGTGCAATCTGAGGGATGAACCACCCAACTGGGACAGCAATAAAAACTGGACAGAGGGTTTAAATCTTCCCCACTCTATTCAAACCTATAAAAAGAGATACACTGTAAACTGGCATGGGTTGATGTTTATGAGTCAATCATTCATTAATAGGTAAAATTATTGTCAATCCAACATTCTTTGTAGAAACACTTCTGTGAGGTAAGGTAAAATGTAGCATGCACAGTGCACTGCCAGATACAAGATCTCCGCATTGTGGCTAAGAGAGGTGTGGTTTGAAATGGCAAATGCTATATGAACTTAGAGCAGTATTAAACCCCGGAACCAAAAATGTATATTTTGCAGCTTACACATTATAAGGTGTGGTAGTTGCACTAGGTTTTTTTTTGCTTTTTCCCTCTTACTGTTGCCAGTAACACATCTCCTATATTAGAGATCCCCCACTCTGAATGAATGAGCACAGGGGGCACAGCAAACAGCAGCATTGTCAGTCTGGGGTCAGGGGAAGTTAGCTGTACTAGCAGATTTAAATATACAAACTGAAGCTAAACAAATGGTTTGTCTCGTCCCTGTAAACTTAAAGAAAAATAACAATAATAACAACAACAGACATAGTGGCCGGATCATCAGGTGAAAACAGAAGAAAGAAAGACTAAAAAAAAGAAAATGAATGCAGATATTACATGTAAAAAATGGTGAGCTGCAATATAAAAGCTGTTTGGGTTTAATACTGCTTTAATAAAGCATTTAATAAAGTATTGTAATGGATAAAGTGTTTCAAAAAAATATCAAATACAGTACGTGGCAACTATGCATGAAAGATAAGTGGTCCAGATGTCTAGAAAGTAAGAGGAATTAAATGAGATTCGTACATCATGTAGGGAAACCAGGTGGAAGGAGTGAAAAAAAAGGGTGACTAACTTATTTATGATGAGTTGACAAGGATGCTAGTGCTGCCTCCCTCTTTCAGTCTAATTAATACACAAAGCATTACAAGATTTCTATCAAATCTAGGTATTCAAATTAGCGACCAGGATGTTGTCACTTCTGGGTTTAGAGCTGTCATTCCCCAATTACAGTAGCTGCAGACATCAGAGTGAAAGCAATAATTGAAAGATCATAATTCATGGTTAACCCTAAATTGATAATCTGTAAATGATTTTAAAGCATTGTCTATGGAAAATTTGGGGTAACATATCTTTTTTTTCCATTTCATGCGAGTGTACAGTTTTAAGGCTTGACATGTGTTGAGTATCTATTTAGTCAATGCAACCCCATCCCTTTACCAAAAAATAGATATTTTATTGTGTTTGTGTGCACTATTCTATAGGACCTTTACTTTTAAAAATCTATCATTGTTTGGTTTATAGTAATTTTGCAGCCAAAAATGCAAATTTAGATGTGTGTGAAAGACACAAAAAAAATTTCCCAGTAGATATGTAGTTAAAGTCTAACTCTACTTTGTTGAGAACAATCATCTCTGAGTGATCTATGTATAGTGCAAGGATTTTACCAAACTTTGTAGCAGAGTCCCACCTTTTTCTATTCTTTTTTTTTCAATTCTTTATTTGGAAGAAATAGTATAACAATTTTTACAAAAAATAAAATACATTTTGACAGAATGCGGATAAACTTGGCCCGACACTATGCGCTTAATGACACTTCAGACATAGTTCAAAAAATTCCTGAAACAAATGAACGTTCAGTACATAGCAAGCTGAACCAATCCTACCACATCCCTAGAACATATTATTTCTTCTTTTCATTTTGTACATTTATCAAAAAAGTAGTAAGAAGAGAAAAACAACATTCAGCCCCATTGAAATAAAAAAAAATAAATAACCAATTTAAAGTTCCAAGTAAAAGGGAAAAAAAAATGGGGGGGGGGGGGGGGACCTCCTCCTATCCTCCTGGCCACCCACTCTGGTGATCCCACAGGACTAACGGCCAATGTGGAAAGTTGCGCTTCTACCTCAGTTAGCTCATGTTTGGAAGGCTAACATGGTTTATTTTTGTAGAAAAAATAGGGGGTCCAAGTTTTTCAGTATTTTTCTCCTTGCTCCTTGAGCATCATGGTCATGTTCTCCATTTTCTGAATCTCATTAATTCAAGCATGCTAGTGTGTTTCTTGTAGAGGCTAATGGATTTTTCCACAATTCCGGGATACATGATTTCACCACTTTGAGGAGATGTCTTAAGAGGGCGTGGTTGTAACATTTGTTTGAAAGAGGTGTGTCGTGAAGGAGAAAGGCTGCAGAATTCCCTCCCAGGGAAATGCCTGTTAATGTGTGTATCATCTGTTCCACCATAGTCTAGAAATCCTGCAGTTTAGGGCACTCCCAAAAAATGTGTAGTAAAAACCCTACAGATTTTTTTGCACTACCAACAAAGATTCAAGACCTGGGGTACATATTATGAAGTACCTCTGGAGTCCTGTACAATATTGTGAGAAGTTTGTATCCGCCTTCCTGGTATCTACTGGCCAGGAAGGCTTTGTGGGCAAAGAGTATGAAGCTGTCTTTCTGCTTTTGAGAAAAAGTAATGTTCAGGTCCCATTCCCAGCACTGTAAGAATGGGAATTCAGGTGGATCATCAGATGCTATCAGGAAGGTATAAAAGTGAGAGAGCAAGTGACGTAAGGGTTCACCAGTCATACATATATTCTCAAACAGAAACAGCTCCCTTAAGTTAATAGACTCATTTGGTAAAGAGTGCAAGAATGCCCCTAGTTGTGCTCTCCTGAAAAAGTCCAAACTCAAAGAGACGGCCTGTTTTAACTCCTGGGACATCATGAGATGACCATTCCTGGAAAAATGAACTATGTGCAATAGTCCGCTCTTTGAGTGTGCTGCAAAATGGGGGTCTTGAAGTTCCAGCGGGAATCCCACTGCTCCTAAGATGGGCATCAGAGGGCTTGGATGCTTGGAGATATTATTGGCTTTGAAAATGGTCTTGGTCATACGTAATGTTGCTCCTATCAAAGGATGCTGTCTGATTGGTAACGACAGAGAGGACCACGGATGCCAAGGAAGGCCAGCCAAGGGTAGGTCGACTGTGGTCTGTTCCAGATGTACCCACAATTTTGCATTGTGTGTAACACACCAGTCAGCCACTCTAGCGAGATGCGTTGCTTCATGGTACTGCACAGGGTCCGAAAATCCAGCTCCTCCCCTGGCTTTGGGCAAGGAGAGGATATTTCTCCAGAGTCATGCTGGTTTGCCTACCCAGACAAATTTCAGGAAAGCAGACCTCAACCTTGGCAGGAAGCTGGGTGGAAGTTGTATTATTGGGAGGGCTTGAAGCAGATCGTTAAGCCTCAGCATAATGTTCATCTTTAAGATATTGATATGCCCAAACCAGGTGAAGACCTCTCTGTCCCATCGCAGCAGGTCTTACTTAACTGTCTTAACTAAGTTGAGTTCAAATTACCATCGGATATCCCTAGGAATATTCATTCCCAGGTATCTAATATGAGAAGAATTCCACTTAAAATAGAACTAGGATGCAATTTGTTGCTGAAAAGAGTGGTCTATAGAAATACCCATGACCTCTGATTTGGAATAGTTTATCTTAAAGTTAGATTCTTAGCGTTGAAGTTCTTGCATCATGGATAGTAACGAGGTTACTGGTGCTGTCACAAAGAAGATTAAGTCATGCGCATAAGCTGCCAGTTTGTGTTCCTTGCCCTTGGCTATGATACCCTTAATATCTGAAGGAGCCCTCATCATCCTCAAGAAGGGTTCCATCATGAGTACGAAGATTAGGGGTGATAAAAGGCACCCCTGCCAGGTCCCATTATGAATAGGGAAAGCATCAGAGAGCACCTCATTAACCCTGACCCGTGCTGATGGAGTGGAATAGAGTGCAGAAAT